AATATCACTTTTGAGGCTTCGAGGAGTCTCTTATAGCTTTACACAGCAAAAGGTTGGAAACTTATGTAACCTGATACATTTATTTACTTATAATAACTATGTTCTTAACTTTGAATGGCTCACTGGTATATTTTATTCTCCTGTTAAAAACCATCATACCAGTAGACAATAAATCTGCTCAGCACATTGGAGACTGTTAATCTGCTGATAGCCAGTGGTCCACAAGCTGAAACAGGGAAAGATACGAATAGTATGACCAACAAGACAGTCTTGGTTCAGGTTTGTCAAACCCTTATTTTTATTGCACTTTTGTTTCAGCTTGTCTTGAGAGTGAATTTTTATTAATCTTTTTATTATATCTTTTTATTATATATTCTACTCATTTATTGCAGAGAAAAGTATTGGATTATCTCCTTATGCTAGGAGTTGAGAGCCAATGGGCTCCTGTTACTGTTCGTTGTGCGGTATGATATATTCTTCCTTGTGGTTCTCTGTTGGTTATTATTCTTCCTAACGGATCCTAGTATTGTTGATGCTGTTTTCTTCTACTGGTGATGTGTGTAACCATAATCTTCACAATAGTGTTGCTAAATTGTTTCAGGCTCTACATTGTATTGGTGATATAATTGCTCGACATCCTAAGAACATTGACGAGCTTGCTAGCAAAGTTCTTGGAGAAGAACCACAAGTAGAACCTGCTCTAAATTCCATTCTTCGAATCATTTTACGAACTTCTAGCATGCAAGAGTTTGTTGATGCCGATTATGTTTTCAAGAACTTTTGTGAGGTAGGTAGACTGAAGTATATAAAGATTCTTTTTTTTTTTTTTTTTTTAATATTTTTTTTAAAGAGTGGGGAAAAAAAAAAAGGAGAAATGGAGAATATGATGAACAGGTAGTGCTATAAGGCCGCTACCTAGTCCAAAAGCTTTCTGGATATAGTCTTTTAGGACTACTTTGGGAGGACTTAATTGGTATGTCACTGATAGCCCGTTTGGTAAGTGGTAAATTGGTAATAAATGGTGGGAATGGGACTGAATTTTTACATTTATATGTAAGAAAAATAAGTGTCCATTTCCATGGTAATGCTAGTTCACTCCAAATTATCAATTTTTCTTCACAAATATTCATTACCAACCATACCATTTGTGGTGTGGTATTAGGTGGTAATGGACATTCTTAAAGAAAAACACAAGTTTGGTGATGAGATTGCATTACTATAGACACTATGATGTTATTTTGCTTGCCATAATTATATTTAAATTCATTTTCATTACCATTATTTATAAATTGCTACCAAATGGGCCATGATGGTTGGAAATGATTTTTTGCCTACCTTGCTTAAAACAGAATAATCCTGATGGTCAGCGACTATTAGCATCCACATTGACACCCCAGCCACAGTCAATGGCTCATGCTCCACTAGAAGATGATGTAAATATGTCATTTGGAAGGTTCTTTTCTGACATCCCATCTGATATCTTTGCAGTATTGTTTGATTAGGGTAGTTATTCAGAAAAGGTCTCTGTTTTGCAGTATGCTGCTCCATGGTCTGTCGATGAGTGAAAGTGATGGTGATCTTGAGGTAATATTTTATATATATCTACGATTTATAAAAGAACCTGTAACAACTAACATAATATGAGTTTATGCTTTCAGTCAATCCATTGATGGTCTTCGTACCAATTTGCTAGCCTATGTTTGTGACTGACTTCATGAATTCTATCTTGACCTTAACTTGTTAGTCTTGCTGTACAGGAGCAGGGCTATGAATGCCAACAACGACAAAGGCCCTGTGCAAATTTAAAAATCAGGCCTTTAATTCATAAATTCAAAGATAATTTTTATCAACAAAACATAAAACTTTAATAAGTTATCAATTTTATGATAAAATTGAAAATTAAAAGAGCAGGTTTCAAAATACATCTCCAAAACCCAACAAATTTACATATGATGCACATGCTCTCTTTGTATATATCGAAAGTAGTACTAGTATAACAAAATACCAAATTTGAGGCCCCTTTTTTGTGGGCCCTATGTGGTCAATCACCTTGCATATGCTCAAAACCACCCCTTTCTATTTTCCAAATGGTAAGCAGTGTTGACACTCAGACATCTTAAATGGCATATGGTGGCTGTGTAGGCCTCAAAGTAGTAGCTGATGTCTCAACCTCGCACTATAATATTTCCATAAGAATAAATTTAAAGTGAAGCTTCCCTTTCCTATGAAATAATAGAGAAGAAATAGAAAATAGAAAACATAGGGTATTTGTTAAACATTTTTCCTGTTCTCTTCATGCATACCATATATACCTGTATTATTTTACTTCCTCCAACCTCCATCTGTCTAGTGTCTACTATATTTGGTTTATAAAACGGTCAGTAATTTGTTTATTTATTTTTTGTTGGTGCAGATATGTGCACGGGCTGCTAGTGTTTTGTCTCATATGCTGAAGGACAACACCCAGTGCAAAGAGAAGGTATATTTCTTGTCTATTTATTTCTCTGTACTAATCATATTTATGTTCTAAACTTCTGTTCCCACTGGGAAACCCATAGTCTCTTATCTCATTGCCCCTTCTAGTTCACCTTCTCTAGCTTATATTTGGCCTGTGTTATGCTTACATGTCATTGTGTATTCAATTTGACAAAAATTTCAGGCTTTAAAAGTTGAGCTGGGGGCAACAATGCAGTCTATGGGGACCCCTGAGCCATTAATGCACCGCATGGTAAAGTACTTGGCTGTTTCTTCTTCCATGGATAGTAAAGATGGAAAGTCAAATGGAAAAGCAGATCTTTACATTCAGGAAATGATTCTCAAACTTCTGATAGTGTGGCTTGTTGATTGCCCTAGTGCGGTGGATTGTTTTCTTGATGCACGCCCCCATCTCACCTATCTTCTTGAGTTGCTGACAAATCAATCTGCAACAGTATGCACTCGGGGGCTAGCTGCTGTTCTTTTGGGAGAGTGTGTTCTGTACAATAAGTGTATTGAAAATGGTAAAGATTCTTACGGCATAGTTGATGCAATCAGTCAAAAAGCTGGGCTTACCTCATTCTTTCTGAAGTTTGATGAGATGCAAAAGAACTTCCTGTTTTCCTCCAAGAAGCTTTCTGAACAGCACAAACCTTTGACTAGATCCAATGGTGCTAGTATGGAGGATGTTGACAACGAACAAGATGATGCTAGTGTGACGGACAAGAGAACTGACAATGAGGTGCATCCAATTCTGGCTTCACTCTTTGATGCTGGCTTTGTTGCAATGGTTGGTAGCTTGGAGATTAACATAAGAGAGAGATTTGTCGAGGTTTATAGTAATCCAAAAGCAAAGGTGGCAGTTGTTCCTGCTGAATTGGATCAAAGAAGTGGGGAGAGTGATGGGGATTATATTAAGCGTCTTAAAACCTTCGTGGAGAAACAGTGCTCTGAAATCCAGGTAAACAGTTTAATCTGAAGTCTTTATCTATCTGCTTCCCTTCCAATTTGAAGTTTTCTTTCATTTATTTAATTACTTATTGTGTATGGAGTGGCAGTGGGGATGTTTAATCATCTGGAAGCTATAATTTTGTCTTCCTGTAGTATAAGAAACTAAGAATCGCCGAATTTAACATATATATACATCATTCCTATTTTTGGAATTTTTTAATTTATTGAATAGAGGATTTATGTAACATTATAACTTTATATTTGGGAACCGATGGAAATGGCTTTGATAAACTGTGAACTATTTTGTCTTGTGAAGGATCTCCTTGGCCGTAATGCTAGCTTAGCTGAAGGCATGGCTATGTCAGGCACAGGGTCTGAGCAAAAGACTGGTGGGCCGTCAGAGAGAGTCCAGGTGGAGACATACCGCAGAGAACTGCGAGAAGCAACTCAGCGACTTGAGATGCTCAAGAATGAGAACGCTAAACTTGGAAATGATGTTTCCATGTACCAGAATTTGGCTAGTAAAATGGAGTCTGAATTGAAGAGCTTATCCGATGCTTATTGCAGTCTGGAACAGGCCAACTCCCAATTCGAGAAAGAGGTCAAGTCTTTAAGAAGTGGGGGCGCTTCACCTTACCCAGATATTGAGGCAATTAAAGAGGAAGCGAGAGAAGAAGCGCAGAAGGATAGTGAGGCAGAGTTAAATGACTTACTTGTTTGCTTAGGACAAGAGCAAAGCAAAGTTGAGAGACTTACTGCTAGGCTGTTGGAGCTAGGAGAGGATGTTGACCAGCTGCTTGAAGGAGTTGGAGACGATACTGGCTTACCTGACGATGATGATGAAGACGATGAGGAGTGATTTATGCTCTATGTAAAATCTCTTTTTTCTTATCCACTCTTGCAGAATTACGTATTTATTTATTTGCATGTGTTAAATTATTACCATGTCCTGTACATTATCTCTAGTCAGTTGTACAGTTGATTTGTTGATGGTACACAGGAATTGGATTATAATCCGTTATGTGAGCCAAAATTCAAAGTTACTCGAATTTTGTAATAATCACTGACTAAGATCAATGTAAAAACACCTCACCAAGTTGGGCGTATCATGTACATCGATCGATTGAAGACTAATTACATGCATGTTTCTTTTGGAGGGAATTCGCTCGCAAAATTTATAAAATGCCATGTTAAGCTGTAAACTGCAATTTCTGCAAAACAAGCAGGATAAAACTAACAAGGTGATCTACATTTATCATAAATTGGCTTACCTTATTTGCTTCTCCACTCAAACATATATCTTGTACAACCGTTGAATGTCTTACACAAATTGAACAAGTCGACAACTTAGATTTTATGTATAACAGCAACATTCTAGAGAAAGCCAAAGCTGACCTTTCAATTTGCAGAAAAGTAGAGTCTTTTAAGACGACATTGATGATTAACATGCTTAGTATTATGCTTCAAATTCAAATACACCTCCATGCTTACTTTTCCAACTTTCTTGGTCAATCCACGTTTCAACATATAATACGAAGTAATAAAAAAGTATAAAATGTTCTTTGAATTTTCATACAATTGCAAATATATAATTATATATTAACTGCTTTCCTAAATCATTTTCTAACCTTGAGCATTTTTTGCAATATCAACAACAATGGTGATCTCTGAGAACTCTCGTCAATCCTCTATGATCCCCTCCTTCCTATACTCCTCTTTGTCGTCCTCCTCCTCGTCTATGAGTTCTCTTCAATTTGATCATGCCACATACGATTCCTCGAAGTCTAACAACTTTCTTCTCCCTTCATCATCAACAAATGGAGTAGCGTCAAAGAATAACATCATGGTTGCTTCTCCTAGTGAGAAGATAAAGATGTATTCGCCCGCGTTCTATGCAGCTTGTACTGCTGGTGGAATGCTTAGCTGCGGTCTTACTCATACTGCTGTTACTCCTCTTGATCTTGTCAAGTGTAATATGCAGGTAAATTTTCATCTTAATCATCTTTTTTGTTGTTCTGATTAGAGTTTAATGGTTTCCTATTGATATTATGCCTCCGGTTAGTTACATGTACTTAATGTGTCATATAATCTAAGATGTAAATACTTTATGATGTTGTGAATTTAGAAGTTGGGTTTTTGTTTGTAGTCTTTTTCTTGGGATATTCTGCAAGAGGTTTTTGGTCCTAAGCTTCAGCAATATATCTCATAAAAGTTACCTGATTATTCAGATTGATCCATCAAAGTATAAAAACATAAGCTCTGGGTTCGGAATTTTGATGAGAGAGCAAGGGATTAAGGGGTTGTTCAAGGGTTGGGCACCAACTTTTCTTGGTTACAGTGCTCAAGGAGCTTTCAAAATGGGGGGTTATGAGTTCTTCAAGAAGTATTATTCAGATATCGCGGGTCCTGAGAACGCAGCCAAATACAAAACTCTGATATACTTGGCTGGCTCTGCATCCGCAGAGGTGATTGCTGATGTTGCTCTTTGCCCTTTCGAGGCTGTGAAAGTTCGTGTGCAGACTCAACCTGGCTTTGCTCGAGGCCTGTCTGACGGTCTTCCTAAGTTTATCAAGTCTGAAGGTGTTATGGGGTATAATAACAATTGGCCTTTCCTTATATTTTTTGTCAAAAAAACTTGCAATATTATCAAGCTACAACTTCTTACCTATAAGATTGAGCATTTTCTTACAGATTGTACAAAGGACAAGTTCCTCTTTGGGGCCGTCAGATTCCATGTAAGTGAACTTATTCTCCTTTCATTGGTTTTCGTCATCTATTTTCTTCAGCTCTCATGTCTATATATATACGAGTATGAACTATTTAGGTGAAATGAATATTACGTCTACATATCTTAGAACAAAAATCGGATGATGCTACCTTATGTGATTGAAATATTGAATAAGCTCAGTGATTTTCCAATGTCTTAATAAGTTTTTCATATTCATTAATAATGCTTTAAGTATGGCGGTAATGGGAAGGTAAAATTCGACTTGGTTTTGATTGCAGATACAATGATGAAGTTTGCATCATTTGAGACCATTGTGGAGCTAATGTACAAGCATGCCATTCCGACACCTAAAGACGAGTGTAGCAAGACAATGCAGCTTGGTGTTAGCTTTGCTGGTGGATATATTGCTGGAATATTTTGTGCTGTTGTATCACATCCTGCAGACAACTTAGTTTCCTTCCTAAACAATGCCAAGGGTGCATCTGTTGCTGATGTAAGCTTCCAAATTTAATCCTTATTACATTATTCTGTATCTTTTCAATTCTATAAAATCAATTTATAGTACCAAATTCTGTATTGCATAAAGTTTATAAGCCTCCATTAACACATTTTAAATTCTGCAGGCTGTGAAGAAGTTAGGACTAGTGGGTTTATTTACGCGTGGCCTTCCCCTTCGTATAGTCATGATTGGAACCCTGACTGGTGCTCAATGGGGTATCTATGATGCTTTTAAAGTGTCTGTTGGCTTGTAAGTTACATACTCTAGTTGTGTTCTCATCATATCGACTCATGCTTTCCTCGAAATACATTTTTAACTTCTCTGAACTCCTCATTTTGTGTGCTTTATAGGCCAACTACTGGTGGAGGTTCTGCTTCCGAAGCTAAAGAGTGAAGTTAGTTGTCATCAACAGTGGACAATTGTGGAAACTAAAATTCTTCTCATAATTGTACATTGATGCCTATTTTGACAGATTGCATACAACATTCTTACATGAATTCGTTTATCTTTGTGAATGGGTTTTAAGAACTCGTTTATAGATATCAAAAACAAATAAAGTGAAGTAGCTAGTGATGATCAATTGTATAATTTTTGGTTCTATGATGAATTTTGTATGTGCTTAATACGTGTACAAAATTACCATATAGTTATACAAGATAACTTTTGTTTCTATGATAAATTTGAGTAGCTATAGTTATGAAAAGTAGTAGCCCCTTGAAGTTGGAGATGTAGATTTTGAATGTACTCAATTTGCCAATTACATATTTAAATTGTTTTCCATCTTCAATCTTGGCAAGTATACAAAGTACATACTAGAAATTCGCTCCGATGAAAGAACATGAACTAGCAATAATACTGAATCGCAGTTTAAACTTGTTCATACACATATCCAACTCAATACGGAGTGATTAATCCTAGTAATGAAAAACAGGGTTCATAATACAAAGAGCGACTTGGTTATCATTGTAAAGTCTATCTCATTTGCTTATGTGACTTTTAGAGTTGATAAGGGAGATAGAGACCATGGTAATTCACAAGTACTTACTAATATGAACAGCTCAATAATCTATTATTTTTTTCTGCAGAGGAGCTTGATATTATAGCTTGAATGTTCACCTTAAAAGCTGCACATCTATGGGTTCTTGCAGCTTGATTCCTGTAAGAATTTCTATAAAACACGAGCAACATGAATGGTAAGAATGTAAAATTAACAGAACTTGAGTTATTCATGTCAACTTTCAAGTGCAATATATCAAAATTTACAAGTAAGAAATAAAAAGTCTTTGCAAAAGAAGATAGCGGAGTAGCTATGTAACAAAGAAGGTTCATCTGTTACCTTTGTTGGGTGTATCATGTACATTGTTCGATTCAAGAAAAATTACATGCATGATTCTTTTGGGATGAATCAAAACTCTACAAAGAATAAGGCCAAATTTAAACTAAGCTTTAATTACTCTGCAAAATGAGCAGCATAAAACTAACAAGGTGTTCTACATTTATCATCGACTAGTTAGCTACCCTGTTTACTTTCCCAATCAAACAAATATCTTATACAACCGTTGTATATCCTATTCTACACACGGTGACTTTAGCAGGTGAGAATGTTTCACGTATACTGTATAAGAGCAACATTTTAGAAAATGTCAAAGTTGACAACCTTCCAATTTGCCAGGAAAGTAAGAAATTATGCTTCAAGTACACCTCCATGCTTACGTTTTCCATATTTTTTTTGGTCAACAAGCACAAATGATTCTTCCCTTTGAATTTTCAGACAAATCCAATTTATTTATATGTACATTAACAATTGATTTCCTACATTATATTCTAACCTTTGGCACTTTGTGCAATAATAACAAAGATGGTGATCTTCGAGAACTATAGTCACTCCTCGATGATCCCCTCCTTCCTATACCCCTCTTCGTTGTCCTCCTCCTCCTCCTCTTTGAGTTCTCTTCAATTTGATCATGCCACTTACGATTCCTCGAAGTCTAACAACTTTCTTCTCCCTTCATCATCAACAAATGGAGTAGTGTCAAAGACTAACATCATGGTTGCTTCTCCTAGTGAGAAGATAAAGATGTATTCGCCCGCATTCTATGCAGCTTGTACTGCTGGTGGAATGCTTAGCTGCGGTCTTACTCATACTGCTGTTACTCCTCTTGATCTTGTCAAGTGTAATATGCAGGTAAATTTTCATCTTAATCATCTTTTTTGTTTTTCTGATTAGAGTATAATGGTTTCCTATTGATATTACGCCTCCGGTTAGTTACATGTACTTAATGTGTCATATAATCTAAGATGTAAATACTTTATTATGTTGTGAATTTAGAAGTTGGGTTTTTGTTTGGAGTCTTTTTCTTGGGATATTCTGCAAGAGGTTTTTGGTCCTAAGCTTCAGCAATATATCTCATAAAAGTTACCTGATTGTTCAGATTGATCCAGCAAAGTATAAAAACATAAGCTCTGGGTTCGGAATTTTGATGAGAGAGCAAGGGATTAAGGGGTTGTTCAAGGGTTGGGCACCAACTTTTCTTGGTTACAGTGCTCAAGGAGCTTTCAAATACTGCGGCTATGAGTTCTTCAAGAAGTATTATTCAGATATTGCAGGTCCTGAGTACGCAACCAAATACAAAACTCTGATTATCTTGGCTGGCTCTGCATCCGCAGAGGTGATTGCTGATGTTGCTCTTTGCCCTTTCGAGGCTGTGAAAGTTCGTGTGCAAACTCAGCCCGGGTTTGCACAAGGCCTGTCTGATGGCCTGCCTAATTTTGTCAAGTCTGAAGGTGTTATGGGGTATGCATGGTTTCTCACTTACTACAGTTGGTTTTTCCTTTTATCATCAACAATCATGATAATGTCTAGCTACAACTTCTTATCTACAAGATTGAATTTCTTTCTTACAGATTGTTCAAAGGACAAGTTCCTCTATGGGGCCGTCAGATTCCTTGTAAGTCAACTTGTTTTATCTGGTTTTCGTCGTTTTTTTCTTAATAAATTCTCATGTCTATATATATGACCTATTTAGGTGATTGAACTGAATTTTATGTGTAAATATCTTATAACAAATATCAAATGATACTAGCTTATGTGATTGAATTTAATAAGCTTAGTAATTTGCTAATGTCTTAATAAAGTTTTTCATATTCATTAATAATAATGCTTCAGGAACAGAGTTTGCATATCTAGTAGTGATAAGGTGTAGTATGATAGTGATGAGAAAAATGCCAAATTTGACTTGATTTTAATTGCAGATACAATGATGAAGTTTGCATCATTTGAGACCATTGTGGAGCTAATGTACAAGCATGCCATTCCGACACCTAAAGACGAGTGTAGCAAGACAATGCAGCTAGGTGTTAGCTTTGCTGGTGGATATATTGCTGGAATATTTTGTGCTGTTGTATCACATCCTGCAGACAACTTAGTTTCCTTTCTCAACAATGCCAAGGGTGCATCCGTTGCTGATGTACGCTTCCAAATTTCATCCTTGTTACATTATTACATCGTTACTCTATTGACATTCTTGCTAATTTTGTATAATACATCCTCTGCAGGCTGTGAAGAAGTTAGGACTATTAGGTTTATTTACGCGTGGTCTTCCCCTTCGTATAGTCATGATTGGAACTCTTACTGGTGCTCAATGGGGTATCTATGATGCTTTTAAAGTGTCTGTTGGCCTGTAAGTTACACATTCGATCTCTAGATGTCTTCTCAAATTGAACCGCGGTTTCCTTTAAATTTATTCTTAACATCTCTTAATAATCTCTCATTTTCTATGCTTTATAGGCCGACTACTGGTGGAGTTTCTCCTGCTACCCAACCCAAAGAGTAAACTGAGTGGTCGTCTACATTGGATAGGACAATAATCTCATGTTTTGTACTTCAAATCTTTGTACATTGATACCTATTTTGACATATTGTATACGTTCTTAGATGATTTTGTTCACTTTTTTAATTGTGTTGCATACATGACTTTTGGAAATCTGTTATCATGATTCATTTATTGACACCAAAAATAAATAAATTAAAGTACCTATATTGTGATGATTAATTTTGTATAGTTTTTGGTTCTATAACAAATTTTGTATGTGTTTAATACTTGTACAATAATCATATAGTTCCTAAAACGGAATTAAGTTGGGAATTCATGACAAAATCACGCGTAAATCGGTATAATTAATGTTAATCTATCCTCGATATTTCCTTTTTTAGCTTCTTAGTTTATCGTTTTCCTAATTAAAATTAGTCTGGAATTAAAACTGATGGGAAATAATAGAAGTTGCCCTTATATATTCTTATAATTATTACCCCCTTGAAGTTAGAGATGTAGATATAAATAATGCTCAATTTATAACTAATACCTATTTCAGTGTTAACATTACGTAATAGAGATGATATAGGGAAAGAATAATTTAAACTTGTATTTTAATCTATTTCATTTTCGTCCGTTTCAAAATACTTGACACGTTACTAAATAGGGAAGGGACCACTAATAAAAAAATATTTCCCTATACTCTTTTTGGGACCACAAACCCCAAAACCCAATTAAATCCTACAATTTTCTCTCCTTACTACCCCCTCCCCCACTTTTTGTTTTCTTACAATATAAAAATACAAAAGAAAATCCTTTATATAATAAACAAATGTTTTAAATGGACTAATTTGTAGTTTTCTTAAACTACGTGTCCACCCCAATGTCTCAAGTATTATGGGACGGAAGGAGTACTATATAGCAACGTATATATATAGTGCAAAACTAAGCTAAAAGTAAGGAACATAATCCCATTATCATTAGATCATGCCAAACATAGTAACATTAACCCACTAACAATAATATTGCTTATTAAAATAAGGCTTGCTTATTACTTGAAACTGGGACTATAGTTTTCAAAAACAATATTGAAAAATCAAGAGTGAAGAAGGGGCCCTTATAATAACAATGAGATTGAATTGTTGTAAGAGACTCAATTAATATAATGTGGATCTTGAGGTTTTAAAAATAAGAACTGATACACTTGATGAGTTTATAAAAATGAGATTGGATTGTAAGAAAAATAAGGCTGGAGTGATTAACAGTAAAAATACAATTAGACTAAGCATGGGTGTCTAAAGAATATATACTTGTTTCAATGTTTAAGTCAATACTTGATATAGAGATAAATACTTGTAATTCTCATTTTGTTCTTATCTTCAGCCTATAGTAATCTTCCATCGATTTTCATCAAATTTTATTGGATTATGCAATAATTCCAATATTATTATGTGCATAAAGATGTGATTGCTATTTAATCCTTCCCAGATAAGATGGGCCCTAATTAAGTAAATTAGCGTGCAAAATTTGCCCGGAAAACGTTTTGTGCATTGCCGGATAACACCAAAAAAATAAATAATATAATGAAGAAAAGAAGTATACAAGGCTAGTAATTTTCCTTTTGTACGAACAAAGTATATGTGTCCATTCGTTATGTGTTACAATTACAAGGCTAGCAGTTTTCCTTTTGTACGCCCAAAGTAACACAATCGGAACCCGATACATGTTAATGTGAAGTGCAAACCTAGACCTGTTATTTATCAAGTTTCTAATTCCGTACCCCAATTCAAATTCAAACACATATAATGAGAAATAACCTAATTATAACCTCATTAACACAACTTATTGGATGAGTCAATT